TTGTACATGTAGGGTTGTATCTTGGGCTAGGCTTGCCCTATTGTACATGTAAGGCTGTATCTTGCATTAGGTCAATCTTATTTAATGCAAAGAAAGCACATATTGCTCCGGTCAGGCAAAAATAAATAACTTAAGAGAATTTAAAGGAAAATGTTGTGTTGATGTGCTGTTGTGGTACTAAACTGATAGAGCAAACGCAGGAAAACCAGGAAATAAAATCAAACTAAATACTAACAAATAGTGGCTATTTAGAGACAAATTGTCGGTATCAATGAACCAGAACGAAATAAAGATGAATGAGAAATGTGGATTCATATTCATTGTATTCTGGTCCATTGATACTGACAAATTGTCTATAAATAGMCGCTATTTGTCAGYATTTAGTTTGATTTTATTTCATGGTTTTCCTGTGTTTGCTCTATCTCAGACTGCTAATCTCATTTYTACAGCTGATTGGTTTATGATTACATATCCTGATGGTAATAAATATGGAAGYCACTGTTTTAAGCAACCAAGAAAGAGTTCTGTGATGGTGACCTGTGATCCTGATGCTACCAAAGTGAGTACCTTTACTTTCAATTCATGCTATTTCAAAAATAATYTAATTTTGTTTATGTATACCAAGCTAGAGCACCCTGTTACCACTCCCTGGATCTGTCTGTAATCAAAAATGTTGAAACATGATTATAATGTTAGATACTGTAATAAGTCAGGAAGCAGTTGATTGGTTGACTAGATAGTGCTTACAATTTTAATACAATGTAGCAATGCCCATAATACTCACTTCAATAAAGAATTACAAGATGACTTATTAACTGTAACTGTTTCCAAAATGAAAAAAACTTTTCTAAAAGTGTTTTCTTTATGTTTTAAGGTTTTTGAATTTTTGCAGAAGGGCTTAAAAGATGATACTTAGTTATAACAAATATTTAATAAGATTTTTTTTTATTGCTCTTGTCAGACTTATAATGTAGCATTTTTTCTGGTAATGTTGAATATTATTGATTTTTGTTTATTTTAGGGAACATTTCGYCTTGTAGAGGAATTCAGGGATGCTAATGATAGCATTAAGGTTGACTGCTACTATCTCTTTGAACTTAACAACAAAGCAGCCTGTACTGTTAAACCAGCTGATAATTCCTTGAGTCCTGGCTCTATTCTACTGATAGTGTAGGTATCTGATCATTGGGCTTTTTACTGTAAAACTAATAAAGCAGATTTTGTATGATTGTGCCACGGCACAGACATGACACGGCACGGTCGCCTTCTCATGATTCCAAAGATGTAAATGCAATAATAAACTAAGATTGAAACAGTACACCACCTCCACGGCATGGTACGGTCACAGCATGAAGGTAGCATGCACGGCATGGTACGGTCACAGCATGAAGGTAGCATGCACGGCATGGTACGGTCACAGCATGAAGGTAGCATGCACGGCATGGTATGGTCACAGCATGAAGGTAGCATGGTTTTTTTTGCTCAATCATACAAAATCTGCTTTGTAACAACTTCAGTGGAAGGCATCAATAGTCTTTACCTAAAAAATTAGTACAATAATTAGCACAATAATAATTAGTACAATAACTGGGTTTATTGGTGTAAGTACATAGATTTTGTTAATGCTCTAGATTTATTCGGTAGATATACTAGGAGATAATTTCACCATTTGGCATGATAAGTCCCAGGCCTGGAAAAACTATCAAGCTCTTCGACATGAACAAGGAATGAAGGCCAAATAGAGTAAATTTTTCTAGATTTTTCTAAATGATCTAATAAACGCCCACTCTCTAATGRACGCCTCCTATGCTTACAAGTTTGTATTAAACGCCCCTCTCTAACAAACGCCCCCTGTCTATTAAACACCCTCCCCTCCGTGCARCCATCCATCACTAGAAACAAATGAATTAGGAATGCCGGTAACATAAATCAATTTAATTGTCTTCTTGCTTTAAAGACTAACACTGGTAAGTGAGTAACGTCTAGTTCAATTTCTAGTACAAAATGGGGATAGCGYTCTTTAATTTTTCTGATTTCATTGCTTAGTATATCGGCAATTTTTGCGTTTTGTCCTAGCAGTATAATGCCCAGGGACTATAAGGCTTTTTTCCCTTTTTTTAAGTAGAAGTTATAAATCATAACATGCAGTACATTACATATTGTTACAGTTTTATTTTATAATAAACACCTCTCTCTAATAAACGCCTCCTGTTTATTAAATGMCTCCCCTTGGACCATTGAAATTTAATAAACACCCCTAGATCATTTACGGTAATTGTGGCAAAATGTAATTGATTTAATATTTTCTCAATGAACCTGATAAGTCATAGTCTTTTGACCACAAAGTGAGTAAATGTCATGAATTGAATTTCAGTTTTCTTATTGTTGGTGGTGTGTATCTTGTTCTTGGTTTTCTGTATCAACGGTTTGTTGCTGGTGCAAAGGGACTGGAACAAATTCCTAACTATCAAATGTGGACTACCTTTGGTGGCTTACAAGCTGTAAGTTTACACAGTGCATTGCTAAAGGGACACTGTCAATGGCACGCATGCGCGAGTAAACTTGAAAACATTAGGCTAGTGTTTTCAAGTTTATGACTCCAAGTTGGTGCGACATAAATCAGCTCGTAAGCGTAAACAGATCTAGAATATTCCAAAGTGTGTCAAAASCACCACAAAATGATTTACCTCGAAGGTAATACTTTCCGTTAGAGGTGAGACTGTTACTGCGCATGTCATCCATTGACAGTGTCCCTTTAAGTAGTGTAACTGCCTGTTTTATTTATAGAAATTTGTTGGAAGCTAGAATGCAAACAATTTACCTAAAAAAATAAAACAATAAAACAATTATTTATTAAAATCATTTCAGGTTATATCCATTTTAATCATACTAGTAGTGCAGCTTTAAATACCAAATCAACGTTTTGTATATTTGTTATCAGGATGGATGTAATTTTATATGTCGCTGTAAAAAGACAAAGAGAACTCCAACATACAAAGTAAGTTATACTTTCCTAAAATTATTATTTACAGCCATGCAGAAATTTGCTTATATTTGGACTTATATTTCAACTATATGTATAGTTTAAAGCACGATCTCGAAAAAAAACTCCAACACTAATTTGAAACTCAAATCCATTAAAATTCTTAGAGAAATTGCCGTACAAATATGTTCAGAGATAAATGGGGCAAACTGATCATGCGCGAATCACTTTACAAAGCACTGTACTCTTGTCATCCCACATTGAATACGCATAAAGTAAAATAGAACCACTCTTGGCTGTTCACTGAAATCGGTTGACATCCTGCATTGGTCAATGATCAGGTTTCAAACCTGAGACCTTTGCTAGGGTCATGGACCTTTATATCTGATAAAGGTCACCCTTATTAGTATTCTTTATATAAAGAATACCAATAAGGAGTGTTTTATCAGATATAAAGGTCCATGCATGTGACCAAAATAGGCTCATTCTATTGGCCTAGTAGCTCATTAATTATGTATGAGTTTTTTGATATAAAATATATCAGAAATTATCATTCTACTTTGCTACTTTGCACCCAGTGGTGCATAAGGTCTTTGTCAAGCTTTTCCACTAATTCTCTCCGTTGGCTGCTACTGCTTGTTTCCTCCCTTGTACCAAATCCCAATTCCTTCCTTTCTTTCTCAACTGGTACTAGGCAACTGTAAAAGTATCAGAATTATGGTGAAATATTACTCAAAACAATCAGAATTTCTCTATATTGCTACATGTGACTGGAATCACCAAAGCTTACRTGTGATATGGCGGCCTGTGAATGTTTTTTACCATTAGAGTAATGATTGATACATTAATGCATAGAGCAGAATATATTTTAAAGCAGTCATTACCAAACGTGGATACAAATAAACTCAATCATTCTGTAACAGCATAACGTTTCAGTTTTTTTTTAATCATTAGGCTAAAATGAATAAGAAAACATTCTTTGGCTGTCAATATCATTCATTTAACAATTCTGCATGAATTGAGTTGTATGAACTGCTGTACAGTAAAAACTTGCATATAAGAACAGTCACCTATTTTGGCGTTTCAGGCTGATTTAGTTCTTAATATAATAAAGGGTTATAATCTGCAAAA